GACGGACCGACGGACAGACGGACCGACGGACCGACGGACCGACGGACCGACGGACCGACGGACAGACAGACTAAGTTAAAAATGTTAAATGTGAATTTATAGCTATGGAAGAGCGGTACCTCCTGACACTGACGCTTGACAAGCTTAATAGAAGGTACCATCCACTGTTAATGTAAAGTTAATTGCATTACTGAAATAAACATTTTCTTATTATTATTATTATTATTATTTATTTTACTAATTCTATCTCAAGCTTTATAAAATTAAAAACGGACACTTACAATCATTATCTAAATTTTTCAGTGACTCAATAAGGTTCAAGATCCTTTCGTCTCTGTTCGGTTTAAAAGCAATAATTTTTTCGAAAAATATTTTCCAATTTAAATAAAAATTCAGCCCTTTTTCTGGATACAACAAGTCGAAGTCAATGTTTATCTGAAAACAAATATCATAGTTGTCAAAATGATTGGTCTGCGTCAAGATGGATAGCTCAGAAATAAAACGTAAAACATATGAAAACAGATTACATACCAATATGTCACTTCTTTGGTCTGATAATATTTTCCAGTCTTGTAGAAACTCATGAACGCTCTTGTGTTCACTTTCTTTTCGAACTTTAAATGTATCTTTCCATTTTTGTATTACTTCACCCCATGGTTCGGTGTTATTGTTGAGAAACAGTATATCTCTTAAATGTAAATCTAAAAAAAATCATGTTAGTGTTTCATTTTATCCTTATTGAAATGTTTTGTAAGACTTTCATTATTTACCTGCATTTCAATCAGCTGACAAATGCCTTTCCCACGTAAGTACCTGTTCCTATCTAATAATAATAATATTATAGATTTTTTTTAGATAGAGGACATAGTAACAAAACAACCTATTGAAAATAAACATTAGTTCAGCAAAATTCAATAGTTTAGAAGTCATGATTATTTATGTACATTCAATAGCACATCAGACCACACATTTTTATTTGAAAATCGCCTCCAGTGCAACGGAACAAGATACATCAATGTGAAACTTGATACGTTGCCATCCATACCTTTTCAATATTTTCTACTCTAGTCATTAAAACCACCACCAGTATCATAATCGTTATTCAAACAATTTTAACTTAATTTCTGAAAAGAAAACATTGGTTCAGCTCAGATTTACATGAAATTATTCTCAAACCTATCTATTTATCAGAAGTTCTCTATACATATGTTTTTAAACATTTTCTTTTTGTGTACATTATGACCATTAGAGAGTTAAAATTGTAGAAACTCATGAACATGAATTGACTAAAAAATAACGGAGCAATCTAAGAACAAACACAAAAATGGTTCATTGCATGCTAGCTACATGGTTACTACTACTTTAATACCAAATTTCAATTAATTTAGTGGAATAATTTTCAAAATAGACTAGTTTTAAACTTTTGACTAGAGTAGAAAATTTTCAAGAAAGTACATAAAAAAATCATAACTTAAGCTATTGATTTTTGGTAAACTAATGTTTATTTTAAATGGGTTGTTACTCCTATATGTAGAAAAATTTTTGGACCACTGTAAATGGGGCCCACTTACAGAGGATTTAGAGTTACATTTACCTGTATTAAATACCCAGAATGATGCGACTTAGAATACCTACTCTCAAATACCTAAATAGGTTCATAAATTGCTTTAACCCAGTGAAAGTCAGTGGGTTTAATTGCAAGCCCATTTAAAAAAAAAATTACCTTGCAAACCTTGAATATACTGTCTTTTAAACGGTGGAGCATTTTCTAGAGTGCCAGATTGTCGCTTGTGTGTGTGGTCTCCATATTTATACAGAAGGTTACGGACTTTGTCTACCAATTTTCCTCGTGCTACTGTAGAACGTCCATTAAATGAATTATTTTTTTTTATAGGTTTGGTAAAATAAGTGCCTATTGACTCCTTTGGAAACAGTGATATTATTTTCGCAGATATAATATTATATTCTTCATAGGTTATCCGGCTAAAAAAATTTGAGTGATGTATTATTGGGAAGTGTAAAAGTAATCAGAACACAGTATATACTTACTAATATATACAGTATATACTTACTAATTGACAATGTATGTGTATATATGTTTTATAATTATATCGGTCAACTGGTTTCTCTTGGTATTATTGAGAAAACCATATGTTTCATAGTATTTTAAAATACTATTGCCACCTGCTGACGTATGCAGTAGTGTCTCCAAATCAAAATGTGGAAATGTTTTTCTAGATACACTTTTGGTTGTTTCCAAGACGTCGACCACTTGTAGTTCATCTAATGAAACTAATAAACCGGCATCACTGGTGCTTGTCTCAAATTTACTGGAGGTGGGAGTAATAATGACTTGATCATCAGTTGATTCAGATACTGCATCTGTCGTTGCCTGTAAAGTTAAAAAAATAGACTATTTTGTGTATTTTATAGTCAAGCTATGTTAAGATAGTCAGTATGAAAGCACTTTCAACTAAATTTTTTAACTTAAACATACAGGTCCCTCACCTGTGCAGTAATAAGCTCCCCTATCTTTTCCTCTAAAGATAGTCTAGTCCCCATATGTGGGCATAATTCTTTCAAATTGTCTAGTTTTAATTTGGGGAAATGTTCAATCGTTATACCATTCTCTGCAAAAGTAGTCAAGTTTGTAAATAAAGTCAAATTAAATCAAATATCTTTTTATGTATTTTACTTCTAGTTTAATAACACACACACTCAATAACACATACACTGAATATACCCCGCACTAGGGAAACCCTGTGTCGCGGGTGCCATGAACACACACATAGACAACCACAAACTGCACCCAAACTAGGCCGTATAAATATTTCTCCCGGCCCAGGAATCGAACCTGGGACCTCTGCGTGGCAGTCCGGCAAGGTAACCGCCACAGAGGCAGTTAAAAGTTAGTTTCTATTGTAAAATGCTAATTGTCGAAGTCACGCATTTCAAAGGTAGATACATTATTTTTAATAAACAATGACGACATTAAATCGGGATTCTAAACAGAGATTATTTACATAAAAACTCATAAATTAAATAATCCCATGTTTAAGTATACTGTATACCTATTTCTAGGAAAAGTTCGTCTAAGATCCCTCCATTTTACGCTTACATTCAACGTTACGTACAAAATATCATCATGCGCATAAAAATGTAATACTTACACAATTAATTCATAATAACATCAAATCACTCACCAATAAAATTGGTCACTACAACTTGTGGTATATTCCACGATTCCAAAAGTTCTTTCAACGAATCCATTACTGTTTCCACAAACAACAAATAGAAAAATCAGTTCCTTTTTAAGATTTTATTCTCCTTGCCTTACCTTTTTAAGATTTCAAGTAAAACTAAGTAAGTATAGTTCACTTTGCTTCACATTTTAAATAATTGGCTATTGATTTATGGATGGCTTCTTCAATCGCAGATACCACGGCCACGGAGACGGAGCGCGCGCGTTTTCAACATGTCACGACATGATTGAAAATGACAAAGCAAAATGTTGCCATAAAAAATGTATTCTCGAATTTAGAATATTACTCTTATTAGCAAAATAACTTTTTTTTTGTCTAAGAAAATATTTTCTTAAAATACATCCAAGAAATTGGGGATTCATTTGAGATTATTTAGATTTGATGTAAGAGGAAAAAATTTCTTGATGTAAGTAATGTCCAATTAATTGATTAGAAATGAAATAAAATCTTGAAGTGAACGTATTTGTCTCAAAGTTAGAATAAAGTTAAGAGTAAAATTGTATTAGAAAAAGATAAGCAGTATCTTTGTAATGACAATATTTTATTACTTTAAATAAATATGTTTTCAGAATTAGCAAATATTTTGAGAAATTGCTCTT